GACAATATAATGGTAAAAAAAAATTTCTTTAAATATTATACTTGTCTATTTGTTTATAAACAATTTCTTAACAAATGATGTAAAAAATTTTTTTCCGATGTTACTTAATGCCATTGTTGGATAAGAAAGCAGCAATAATATAACATTTGTTTAAAAAATTTTTTTTAATAACATTTCTTAGACTTTTCATTTTTTGTTAACTTTAAAAAATTGTTATAAACAAAATAATTAACTTTAATAAACTTTTATCGCGGGATCTTGTTAAGTATATATATAAAAGGAGCTCCACAGAGCCAAAAATTTATAGGTTTATTATTTAAAATTTTATGTCGTCATTTATGAAAACGGAGATAGGAAAAAAATTCGTTAATTAACAATTGAATAACTTTTTGAAAAATTAATTTAAAAAAATTTTTCCAACGGGAATATATTCTTTCAAGTATCTGGATGACACCATAATTTATTTAAATTTTTAAATTCATATTTGTTACTATAAAAACATAATTTTATGTAAGAAACTGTCTTTAACGGCAGTGCGCCCATGCCGTAATGTCTGCGCGGAGCCCTATTTTCAGCGTTAAATTAAAATTATAAATAATAGAGGTAGAGTTCCGGGAGCTGGGACTTTTTTTTCGGAAATTTTCTCCTCTTTAAGGACCTTTTTTCCAAATATCGTAAATATTAATAGTTTATGAGTTATTAACAAAAACGTAAATACCTCTTTTTTTTCATCTTATTTTGTTAATAACAATTGCAATTTTTTACGTGCAGTAAAATCCTCAAAACTCATTTTTCTAGAGGTCGTTCCGAATCCAATGAGCTATTGCTCATATTTTTAGGAGCTTTATCTCTATTTTTCACGTTTTTGAACTTGTTGACTGGACTAGTTGATATATATCATTATACTCCGCAGCAGTTCCGTAAGGTAAGATCAACGCAGAAAATCAAAAGAGATTTTCCAAATCCAAATCGAATAGAAAAAAACCCTGCCAGACGGTGTAACGTTGATATTTTTTTTAATTAAATATCATAAAATTCAATTCAATACTACTTGCGGAAAAAAAGAAAAGCGGCCAAGTGCGAGTCGGACTCGCCCACGGAGGGTTCCGTAGCAGCAATAAAATTTCGTGTAGTTCGTTGTAACTTTGATCGATGTTTTAATAGTGTATTTTTTTTAAATTGATTTGTGATTTATGACGTATTAAAAAGAAACTACTTACTAGATCTCGTTCAAACCGTGTGGTGGAAGTTTGCATAGTACAAGTACATCATATATTTTTTTTAGTTTTATCAGACTCTTATTTTAGAATTTATTGGGGGGGGGGGGACCTTTTACCACTTTGGAAGTGCCTCTCGCACAAACTATTCACTTTAGAAAAAAATGATATTAGAAACCTCAATATTATTTTTGAAGACCTATTCGAAGATACCCCAGTAGTTCTTATAGTTTCGGAAAAAAGTGGCTGTGACTAGGTTTGCAACGATATATCGGAATATCGATAATATCGATAATATCGAGACCAAAATATCGATATTTATATCGATATTTAAAATTCACTGATATCGATAATATCGATATCGGAAATTCCAAAATATCGATATTACGTAGACTAAATTTGAACACAATAATATCAATTGATTAACCTGCTATGACTATCTAAATTGAATAATATTGAAATAACTATTGCTTTGAAATCGCAAGAGCTTATAGATGTATTAAAAAAATCTTGAACCCCAAGAAATATACTAAACTGGTGTGGATTCTGGCATGATTCTCTAAACCTAAAATTAAATTTGACAATAGTGTATCCTTGTCATTCTTTTTATACAGAATGAAAAGGAGAGACTGATGTTAAATTTAGTTTTAAGTTTAGATAATCATGCCAGAATCGACACCAACGTATATAGGTATAATCGTATACCTAATGGTAACTTATGCCCCTAAATAAAATCCTTGCCTCTCTTTCTAGGTAATTGTCAGTAGGAGTATCAGTAGGATTAATTGAAATTTAATATTATTGTAATATAACACAAAATAAAATTAAGAGTCTTATACAAATCAACTTCAAACAAACAAAAAATTTTTCGTCGTACAACAACTCAAATCGTAAATTTTTTAAGCTCGCCAAGTCAAGAAAGTAAGATAGGTATAGTAATTTTGGAAGCTTTGGGCTTACCCTATTCTGAAGCCATGGGCACGCTCCTGATGTGTGGGAGACTAAGCAATTTGCGTATTTGATGTGCGCTAAAAACCGATATAGCTTGGAAAAGCACGAATGTAGCGAAGGCATTCGCAAATGTCGTCCCACATATGCGGGTTGGGGCATTCATGCTAACGAATGTGAGTGATCTGATCAGGATAATAATTTTATTTTTTTGGTTTCCTGTCGTGGCTGAAACCTGAAAAAATCCTGCTTGGCGCTATTTCATCAAGCGTGTTTAACGAAAAAGCTGGCTCAATGCATTTTCCGAGAAACTCGCCAACAAACATATGAATGTGTCACACTCACCCAGGAAGACAGGAAAGTTGTTACTTGAATACAATACCTTATTTTTTTAAACCAAAAATACGTTCACTTAATTATTTCTTAACTAAGTACCTTGGTCGAGAGCAGAAGGTATATAAGTTATCTTTTTTTAATTACTTATCTATATTAATGTACCGGTGTGGTAAAGACGCAATCATTCTCTTTTTTTTATCTATAGGTTGTAGGGAGTAATCGAATCTACTGAACTAAGTGTCATAAGCTATATTATATTAGAACAAAAACTATAGTCTACAAGAAGCGAAGCGCGGGCCGGCCACTAGCGTATCAATAAAAAAAAAATTGGCAATGTTACTAATAATGTCTTAAGAAACCTTTGAATTGATGCTTCGATTTACAGAGATTGATGAGTTGCATGTTTTATATTTATAACGTATTAATAAATATATGTACTCTAATGAGAATATAATTGGGAGTATTATTTACAATATCCTACCGTAATTTACAATTGGGACGGATAATGTCGAATTGAAAAATGATTCGCCGTTGTCGAAATTGTGCGGCCTTACAGAGATGCTGCCGAGTTCAAAACCTGCTCCGAGGGACGATACATAATTTCGGACTTTTCGAATGCACAAAGGTTGTAATTTAAAGCCTTCTGTAGGCACACTACTTACATGAATCATCGAAAACATAATGCAGGAACAACCAAAAAGTTAATTTCGTCTTTATTCTCTCTCTTTCTGGTTAAGAAAAGTTTGGAAATACCCAAGTATAAAATACTTATAGCTGATTTAACTGCGGTCATTAATACTTTTTGTCTTTACATTTTTTTAATTTAACTCTGTCACATTAACTTACTTTTTATTATTATTTACACTTATGTAGTAAAATAAATATATGTAGCAAAATGTGTAATAAATGTACACTTATTACACATTTTGTGAGATTTGAAAACAGGATTCAATTAATAAATAAAATAACTGTAAAAGAAATGTTCAAATGTTACGATTATCAGTATTTAGCATTTTTTTCAATTATATTGTTAATTCGAATTAAATTTAGTGCTATTTGATCTGCACGTAGGTAGATAACGCCTGAGCCACACGCAGATTGCAAGAAAAATTCGCAGTAATATAGTTCGAATTCCAGGGAAGTTGCACTACAGTTAAAGTAAGAGCTTTTGATCTAGTAATTAACACGTACCTATCACAAAGTTTAATCTAAGAATTAAGGCTCAGCAATTGTAAAATTTATACAGAAATTCAGATTCTATAGTCGTTATTTAAAGCAATTTAGGTGACAGAAAAAAATATGACTTTGAAGTTTGAAATTAATCATACATAATTATATTTCCATTGTTGATTTATCATGCACGGGCTCATTTGAGCAGGTAAACCCTAATTTAATCTAAAAAAACATACCAATAATATATGTAAGACATCGAGTGGGTGTTTGCTTACTTTGTAATTTAAGTATTATGTAACGTTGCTTCTTGTTCGCTCTGCAACTATAGCGTAACTCTATAAAAATAGCTATTGACATCCTATAGGTAAAAAGATATACACAAACAACCAGTCTAATTAGACACAATTACTAACAGGCGTTGTGTATGTTCTTGTTAAGTAAAGACTGATAATTGAAGTCGTAGAAAAATCTTTACTACCTACTCCTGTAGGTTGGTAAGCGGGGTATAAATTTGGGTAAGGGTCATATGATGGAATCTTTGTAATATATGATGGAATTTAAGAATTATAAAAAAAATATAATGAAAGGAATCTTTGTTTAATTGTAATACGACGTAGAGACATTTAACACTCTACTCGCTACTTCCTTCCACATAAATCTTTGACCACTTTCCTTCTTAATTCAGGAATACAATGTTATTAATTATAATTAATGTTATGAATTAGAAATCCGTCCATTTGAACTATCATTCATCGAGAGTAAAGCCATTTTTCGGTACTCGAATTTTAGGTTTGGCTAAGAGGTTTGACCTTGCCCCTAGCGTCAGCTCACACCGAAACGCGACGCGACGGCGACGCTGCACGCTGCACACAGCGACTCAAAACATAACTTTAATTACTACGAGAAAAAATACACATTTCATTGTTTGAATTCAGATTGTCGCGTCGCGTTTCGGTGTGAGCCGACGCTTACTCCCCCCAATAGCTACGCCCATGTGTAGATTTGCGACAATAGAGGCTTCATCTGAGTGAAAAAAATAGTTCACCATACAAACTTCCACTGCCGTGATTTTTAGAATACAAACCATTCTATGTCTTTCCCCGGGACTCAAACTGTCTCTTTACGAAATTTTACCTAAATCGGCTCAGCGGTTTAAGTGTGAAGAGGTAACAGACAGACAGAGACACTTCCGCATATACACGTGTATGGATATACACCACAGAATATCGACTAAGAATATACACACCTCCAGGACAGTCCAGTCACATCTAAAAACCCAAGTGAGAAGGGCTGATTTTCTAAGACTGGTTTAAAAGAAACACTCGCCTGTTTCCGTATCATGACGTGGCACACTCGGCCGCGCACGCGCACCGACAGCACGAACTCGCCGGGGTGCGCCTGTGACTCGCGCACCAGGAACGACCCGTTCTTGCCCTTCTCCATGATCAGGCTTTCCGCCTCTTTCGCCGACATGATGCCGTGAAACCACCTGGAACAATCATTGACATTACTGACTACAAATCACACCAACTAATCTAATCGAACTAAAAGACCCATCTAAGGTACGCATACGCATACTAGTGTGAAACGGATTTCTATTGGATTTGGTGGATTTTGCATACAAATACATACGGGTAACGTACGGGTTGCATAAGGACATCACGCGGGATGTATTCGGGCACGGAAAGCCATCGATCCGTTCAGTAGGCGTAGCAGAGCGAATCGTGTTGCTTTTCGTATCTGATACGCACCTAGCACGGTCACGGTATGATATGGTGTAGTGGGTAGAAACCTTTATATTATAGCAGAGATGGCAGAGCCCAACTCCGCTCCAAGCAGCCAAGCTTGCTCCACTGCTGGCCTGAACCTAATTCTATTCCCTATGGACCTGTGAGAACCTTACCCTACAACCACCATATTTTCTTACCCTGTGGTATAACTGTAAGATAGAGATGGAGTGAACTGAACGGCATATTCATCCTAATATCAAGAGTTGTTTTCAAGTTTATTGAATACTAGCAGCTACAAGAGACTTCGTCTGCGATATCTTTAGTTTTTTGAGAGTCCCACAGGAACACAATTTTTTTTCGGGATTAAAAATATCCTATGTCTTAATTCTGGATTAAACTATATGTGTACCAAATCTCATCCAATTACAAACAAGAGGATATACAAACTTTCATATTTCAAATATTAGTTGGATAATATTTTTATTGATAGAATAGGACGAATCTATAAAAATATACTACAGCCACATATTACAAGTATTAAATAGCTACTCCAAATATGTGCCGCATTCTAATGAACAACAAACTAAGTATCATCTGATCACCCGCTTGTCGTCTTGTCTCACCACTCACCTCCATGCCCGACTACATAACCTCCCCACACGACACCCTCTCTACAATCGGAGCAATAATTATTAATCGTTTAAAATATATTTCCAAAAAGTGTCAAGTAGCCTATTCAATACTCAACATTTACTTACTGAAGAAATACTTGGTATAAATGAGCTTTGGCTTACAGTATTCTGTAAGATTAGAATTATTTTTGTAGCCGATTGCTGCAGTTCAATGGCACACTGTGTCCTACCACTTCAAGTAAAGTAAGTATTAAATAGATAACTTTAAAAACACTTTAGATACTAGATGTGTTTACGATAACAGTGTTCTTGTGTAGTTGTAAATAATATTTGTTATCTACTAGCGGCCGCCCGGGACTTCGTCCGCGTTAACTTTGGTTTTTTGAAAATCCTTTGTTTCAATCCAGGGGGGCATTCGCCTAACGGAAATGCTTTGGAAAACGCTAACGCTTTCGATTTTATTTTGTTATTTCTGACCGCCGAAGGTTTTCAAATACCTCACGCTCATTTTTTTTATATTGTTATTACCAATGCAAAAGAAAAAAAAGAGCGCGAGGCATTTGAAAACCTCAGGCGGCTAGAAATAACAAAATGAAATCGTAAGCGTTAGCGTTTTCCATAGCATTTCCGTTAGGCGAATGGCCCCCCGGGTTAAAAACTATCCACCAAAAACATTCTGTAAAAAACTAGCCAAGTCTCGATGGAGCTGCTTGTTTGTCGCCAAAACCCGCTACCCATCGACGATGGAGAATTGCCACTTGGAAAACGTTGATTGAATCCAGTCAATTGTAGGCTTGATAAAGTTGCGTTTACACGTAATGTTGAATGAATCGGTGCAATGGTGTCATGTAGCACCTGGTTTTGTACCCTTGTGTACCCTTCAACGGCCAAGTCACACAACATTAACTATTATAAGAAATCGCAGTAAGGAACCTTAGACTTGGCACGACTTTGTCTAGATTTAATTACTTTTTAGAGATAAACAAGCAGTTCCATCAAGACTTGGCTAGTTTTTTACAGAATGTTTTTGGTGGGATTTCACTTCTTTTTGTAGAAACGTGGGCATATTGATTTATTTTATTAGATTTTCTTCTTTGACACATTTTTTTTCATTTTAGGAGTAGTCTTTTTATTATTACAAATCTTTCTTTTCTTTTTTTCCGGGTCTGATTTTTGAACATTAGCAACAGTTTTTCGTATTGCCCATTCGCGTTCTTTATTTATTCTTTTAGACGGTTTAATTTCTGAAAGATCGGCGCAGTATTTACGCCTAAGCCGATTGTATTCGGTGATAGCTGACGCTTGAGCTTTTATACTCTTGAAGTCAACATTTATGAGGTGCACCCCATGAAGATTAGTTACTCGTGAAAGCACCACGTAGGCTTGGCCACAAGAGAATATGGAGGTGCCAATGTCCATGAGGGTATTTTTTTAGACTTAGACCTAGGTATCACCGCCACTCTTAGTCCAATGCATTATATTCTGACCAAATTTTGAGCGAAATTAAAATTTTAGTGTAATTGTTTCTTTAATTTGTGTAATATTCGAGTAGAATAAAGTTAATCGTTCGACTATTTTTTCTTGGAAACTCGTAATAAGTATAATAGCCAGTCTAGTGTTATCCAGAGCTTTCCTTTAATTTTATTTATATGCGCATTAAAAGTAGAAGGGGAGGCATTCGCCCAGCAGTGGGAAGCTATAGGCTAAATTAAATTAAAAGATGTGTACCACTACGCTGGATTTTTGCAATGACAGTCGATTTTTTTGTGCACCTATATTAGAAGGGGGCATTACCATATCTCTAATACAGCTGAGGGTTCTTCATCAGATACTTCAGACCTTCGATTTTTGACATCAAATGAAGCGGCTCACCAAGTTGAATATTTTTTGTAAAGGCGGTATGCCGGTCTCTTCTAATAGTTTGGTTGGGCTCTTGTGTTATCTAATCAGGGTCACCAGGTACAGTTTGTCTATAAAGTCGTGACATTAAATGATGGCGCCACTAGTATGCATGTAGCAACCCTATAAATTCGGACCAAAATGATTTTGATACTAGCGGTTCATTCAAGTAAAATAGGTAATTAATAAGACACACTATACAGTCGTATTTTGTTTCTGTTTTATATATAGTAGGTACTTATGCTTATAAAAAGTTTAGCCAAGCATATTTAATTGAATCAGAATAAAATTATTATAGATAAAAAAGTACTTTATAGTGTAAAAGTAATATGTTGGTGATCATCAATACACACAAGTATCATCAAACGACGTTTTTTAACACACTTGTTAAGAAAATAATACTAAAAATCATTTTATAGTACATAAAAAGTTTATTTAGAGAAAGAATTTGTAAATGTGCAGTTAGTAAAATTAGTGATAGGTATCTTCACTAAAAGCATCTGGCCATGGTTCTTTATGTGATCATTTCTTTCTTTGGTCGGCCTTGCTTGTTTTCCCAGGAGTTTCAAACTTTCCATCATTCTTAAAACCTTCGTTGACTATCCGACTCTCTGATTTTCCTGAAAAAAGTAAAAAAATATGTAACGGAATAGAAACAATAACTTATTGACATGAAGCAATTAATTGAAAATTGGTAGAAAACCTGACCGAGTTGAACCATAATAACGTATCAAAAGAAATGGTCGTACTACAATATTACCTATTTACAATGTGAATCTAACCTAAAAATGTGCAATGTAAACAATGCCTTTTTTGGTCTCAAAATCGTAAATTGAGTAAATTTGTAACTTCAGGCAGATTACAAACAAATAGTTACACGATAACATACCCGTCATAGATGCTGTTCGCCCATAAACATCGTCCAAATCCCACAAAATTCGTCCAGCTTGGTAGTCTTCGAAACATTGCTGAAAAACTTTAAAAATCACTTCCCGCGTGCCACTCCAATTTACTTTACTCATTTTTATACCTTTCTGCGTAGTTTCGTCTTAATTTATTACAGTTTAATCCAAACAATAAAAAATACAAAAGGAAAACTGTTCCACAACTGAAACTCGATGACAGCTGATATACATAAGTTAGGTGTTGCCAGACACATGAATAATGTTAGTTCCTCAAACATTCATGTCACAACTTTATAGACAAACTGTACTCCAGATCTTCGATTATCCTAGTTTTTATAGTTTTCCCTTTATGTGGCCATTAAAACCTAACTCTGTACCAAATTTCAGCTCACTGAGTTTATGGGAAGTACTAGTTCTATTCTGATGATCATGAGTGAGTGAGTGTCGTAAATGCGAAACTTTGCTTTCGTTTAACTTCGGAACTAAATGACCTACAGACTTGAAATTTAAGTATGTTATTATAGCTTACTGGATGACGAAAATTTCAACGTTCTGGTATTATCCAGAGGTTCTCAAATAGGGGCCTGAAAATGCGGCGAAATCGTTCCAGTAAAATATGGTTCGGCAGTGTTTGCTTCGCGCTCGACTTGGCGTAGGCACTGCCGCGCCCCCTGATATTCGTAAAAAAATTCTTCCAAATCCGTTCAGTAGTTTTTGCGTACCTGAGTAACAAATGTACAAACTTTCACATTTATAATATTAGTAGGACGACAAAGCGTTATATCTACATGTTAACTTATAAAAGATGGTAATCTTATTATGGACTAGGCTAATTGGTGTGTTGGAAATATTTATTATTATTTTCAGAGTAATTGTCCGCACAGGAAATTAGATAATGTTTGTTTTAAAAAAATTGTATATACACACATCAAAAAAAGTTTAAGATCACTTGTAAATGCTGATATATTTTCAAAATTTAACTTAATCAAAAAAAATGTTTACGTTATATTATTTTTTATTAAAAATATACTTCTGAAATTAAAAAAAAATATATATTTAGTATAAAAAAAAATAATAATTCAAACCTAAGGCGATTGTAAAAGAACTTTGATAAAAATAAAAAGATAGTTTAACCAAACAAAACATTTTATTGATAAATTGTTGTTTATCTAAAACAAAATAACTCCTCCTCTGGCTCGAACACATGCGGAGATCCTCCTGGGCATGCTGAGGATCAAGTTATCCAGCATTTCTTGTGGTAACCTGTCCCATTCTTGAACAGCAGCTTCCCTGAGCTGGCACTGTCTGGGGTGATGGCTGCCG